CAGATGGCACCATGAGACAGCTTGGAGGTGAGCAGGACCCCCAGGCTGCAGGGTCAAAGCTCAGTGGTGGTGGTATTACCCGACCGGGGACCAGGGTTACCCAGCGAAGCAACAACAGAGGCCTGTTAAGAGAGAGCCTCAGAGGGGACAAAACTGCCTGAGATGCCACTCTAGTTGGGCATGGGGGACACTGAGGTTGAGAATGGAAATGCTGGAACTCAACATATAGCCCTGTTCCAGACAGTGCTGCCTGGAAGGTTTCTGGGCTTTCCTGAGGGGCTGCCCCACACCCAAGCCACCTCCTTGGACTCCTGACCTTTACCCATTGAGGACCTCCCTCCCTTCGACATGAGCTGTCTTGAACTTGGGACTCGCCTTTCCCAAGACGTCCATCACCAGCTCCTGGAGGAACTGGACCCTGCGTCTTTCCCTCATGTGGAGCCTCGGTGTGAGAGGCCCTGCTAATGCGTGCATGTCCGAGGCAGCAGGGGCCACATCCGAAGAAGAAGGGAGCGGCGGAATTAACAAAAAGTGTGGGAAAGACCCAGGTGTCTGAGCGCATCTGCACGTGTCGCAGGAGGGATGGGTCTCGCCTCTGATCCAGCCCCGAATGCTGGATAACTGGGATGATTGCCCTTATGATGGGTCCACCTCCAAGCTGGGGTGGCTTTGTTCCTGGGTAAAGGGTCTGCCGTGACAGAGTGCAGTAAATACCAATAAACAGTTCTTGTTTCCCAGAGGGATGTGCTGAGGGGAGACGTGGGCAGTGAGGCCTTTGACCCTGCCCTATAGATCTTCTGCAGGGTGACACCAGTTTGCCTCAGGAGGGAAAACGGGCTGCTTTGGTCCCAGCTACGGCTTTTTTTGCTTTGTTTTTTGCTTTTTGGGGGGACAGAGTCTCACTCTGTCACCCAGGCTAGAGGGCAGTGGCACCTTCATATCCCGGGTTCAAGTGATTCTCATGCCTCAGCCTCCCAAGTAGCTGGGATTACAGGCACTCGCTCCCATGCCCGGCTAATTTGTTTGTATCTTTAGAGGAGACAAGGTTTTAACATGTTGGCCGGGCTGGTCTCAAACTCCTGACCTGAAGTGAGCTGCCTGCCTTGGCTCTCAAAATGCTAGAATTTTGGCGTGAGCCACTGTGCCTGGCTAATTTTTGTATTTTTAGTAGAGATGGCATTTCACCACCATGTTGGTCAGGCTGATCTTGAACTCTTGACCTCATTATCCACCCGCCTCAGCCTCCCATAGTGCTGGGATTACAGGCATGAGCCATTGTCCCTGGCCCATGGTATTTTCATACTTTGTGGGCAATTTAAGGGATTTTCAGGGCTTACTTGGACTTCACGTGAGTTTTGCCTTTATGAGCTGACAGTAGCATTTACCCTCCAGGATGTGACCGTGAACTTGCACTTATATGAACTGAGCAGCACATCCTGGACTGTTTGCTTAACATGTTACTGCTGTGGTTTCATTTGGCCTTTCCAACAACCATATGAGGTAGGTACCCTGTAATCCCTATTTGCAGATGAGAAAACAGAAGGTCATAGACATGAGTTTGTTGTTGCATGACAGCTGTCTGTTGACTCCCAGACACATGTGCCTGACCAGCATCCTCTTCTGCCTCCTGATGAAGGACCCCTTAACTTAGGTTGATGGAGCTGAAAGCTGTCCCAGCACAGAGTGGGTACTGGGGCAGGGTCCAAAAGAGTTGATTTCTCGGCTGGGTTAGGTGGCTCATGCCTATTATCCTAGCACTTTGGGAGGCCGAGGCAGGTGGATCACCTGAGGTCAGGCGTTCAAGACCAGCCTGGCCAACATGTTGAAACCCTGTCTCTACTAAAAGACAATTATCTGGGCACCATGGCATGTGCCTGTAGTCCCAGCTACTTGGGAGACTGAGGCAGGAGAATCAGTTGAACCTGGGAGGCAGAGATTGCAGTGAGCCGAGATCATGATACTGCACTCCAGCCTGGGCAACAAGAGTGAGACTCTGTCTCAAAAAAAAAACACACAATTTCTGCTGGGGATAAGGCAGAATTTACCAGCTAGAGAGCTAAGGAGCGCTAAATGTACTGCCCTTGGAGTCCCGAGGCTGTGGAGTTTATATTGCATAAGCAGAAAGGAGCTAAGGTTCTTCAGGACTCCTCTGTGTTATGCACAGACTGCTCAGGTGAGGTCTCTTCCTAACAGTCATCCTGTGACTTTGCCCTCCTAAGCAGACAATCTGCATCATGACTGGGCCTTTTCCCTGGGATGCATAGCCACACTCCTTCTGACTCTTGACAAATGGCCCATGGTGCGTTTTCCTCCCTCCACGTCAGCCCTCAGCTGTCACTTCTCCCTGCACACACCTGAGTGCAATATCGAATGCTGAGGTGCGGGAGAGTCAGGGCATGGAAGACTGGACGCCTGGGTTCTAGCCCATGTGTGGCTCCCAATCCTCTAGGAACTTCAGGGATGGGGAGATATTTTACTGAGGGCCTACAGCCCTCCAGGCACTGTGCTGCGTGCTTGGTGTGAGTCTTGATCTTCCCAACGTCATCGCTGGGAGGTGCCAGCTTGGTTTTCCATTTTGCCCATTTGAAAGCTCTGTTGCCTAAGAACTCAGGGCTAATTGAGATGAGCCAGACTGACACAATCCTGTCTCTGTTGCCCCACACATTACCTCCAAAGTGGCTTCCCTTTTCTAAGCCAGCGTCTTCTGATAACCTACAATGGGCCCTGCATTGTGCAGGGAGCTGGGGACAGAGCAGTGAACAAGTTCTCTGCCCTCGTGGAGCTGATAAGCCAGTGTACTGCCCAATAAGTAAATGATGCGACATGCTGGAAAGTGACCAGAAAAGGCAGTGAAAGAGCAGGGGGTTGGCACTTGCTTTTTTTTTTTTTTTTTTTTTTTTTTTGAGATGGAGTTTCATTCTTGTTGCCCAGGCTTGAGTGCAATGACATGGTCTCGGCTCACTGCAACCTCCGCCTCCTGGGTTCAAACAATTCTCCTGCCTCAGCATCCCAAGTAGCTGGGATTACAGGGACCTGCCACCACACCTGGCTAATTTTTGTATTTTTAGTAGAGACTGGGTTTCACTATGTTGGCCAGGCTAGTTGCGAACTTCTGACCTCAAGTGATCCACCCACCTTGGCCTCCCAAAGTGCTGGAATTGCAGGTGTGAGCCACCAAGACCGGCCTGGCACTTGCTATTTAACATAAGGTGGGATGGGACGGGCTCTCTCTTAAGATGACACATGAACAGAAATGAGGGAGTGAGCCAGAGGGACATCTGAGGGAAGAGCATTCCAGGCCGAGGGAACAGCTAGCGCAAAGGCCCTGAGGTTGGAGTGTGCCTGACATTTCAGAGAAACAAGACGTGGTTGGAGCAGAGAGGGAATAAGGGGAGATAGACAGACAAGGTTACAGAGGGAACAAGAGCCATATCCTGCTGTCCCCGCCCCATGATGAGGACTCAAGCTTCCACTCGTTCAGGGCTGGTGCCGTGGGAGGATTCTGAGCCTGGAAAGAATGAGCTCTGACTTAGATGTGCACAGGATTCCTCTGGGAGGAGGCGGCTAAAGGTGTAGGAGAGGGTAGGAAGGCCAGTCAGGAAGCCCCTGTGTCCACGTTGAAGAGGAGAGTGGCCGGAACAAGGTTGGGATAGCAGAGCGGGGAGAAGTGAGATTCTGGATATATTCTGAAAGTAGAACCAGCAGAATTTGTTGACAGATTGGACACTGGGTGAGAGAGAAAGTGGCTGAGCAACGTAACAGGTAGAGTTTGCTGTTCCCTGGAATGACAGAGTAGGCAGAGTCGGTTTGAGGGTTGGGGTAGATCAGCAGTTAGGTTTTGTACATGTCAAATTTGAGATGGCTCTTAAGATATCCTGAGGACTTATAAAAAAAAAAAAAATAGCCAGGCATGGTGGCTAACACTTGTAATCCCAGCACTTTGGGAAGCTGAACCGGGTGGATCACAAGGTCAGAAGATTGAGACCATCCTGGCCAATATAATGAAACCCTGTCTTTAAAAAAAATAGTAATAATTAAAAAAAAAGATATCCTGAGGGAAGATGTCACTCAGTGAGCGAGAGAGAGCAGCAAATAATAAAATAACAGTAATAATATTAGAATAGTTACATTATACATATTATAGTAGTATTAACAATGATTTTGGCCAGATGTGGTGGCTCACCCCTGTAATCCTGGCACTTTGGTAGGCCAAGATAGACGGATTGCTTGAGGCCAGGAGTTTGAGACCAGCCTGACTAAGATGGTGAAACCCCTTCTCTACTAAAAATAGAAATATTAAGGCCAGGTGCGGTGGCTCATGCCTGTAATCCCAGCATTTTGGGAGGCCGAGGCAGGCAGATTACATGAGGTCAGGAGTTCGAGACCAGCCTGACCAACATAGTGAAACCCTGTCTCTAGTAAAAATAAATTAGCCGGGCATGGTGGTGCATACTTGTAATCCCAGCTACTTGAGAGGCTGAGGCAGAAGACTCACTTGAACCCGGGAGGTGGAGGTTGTGGTGAGCCGAGATTGCACCATTGCACTCCAGCCTGGGCAACAAGAGTGAAACTCTGTCTCCAAAAACACACAAAAACTTTTTAGTTCCAGAGAACCTTAGGCTTGGAAGTTCCCTGCTTTGGAGACAAAAGTCCCCCAAGCCTATTTGAATTGTGTGCAGGCCAAAGCCCATAGGTATGGAGCAGGCAAGGGCGCTCTCCTGTGTTTTTCCTTTGAACTTCAGTGCCTCCACCCTCCCAAGATTGACTTTCTGGTTTTGCTTATTTTCAGAATGCAGGCAGCTTCGGGTAGGGAGCCTGCGGCTAAACGATTAGACGTTTTACTTTGCATGGGTGAGGGTGCCTGGGGTTTGGGAGGGATAAAGTGCCAGGGTCACACGCTGCCTGTCACACGTAGGCATCTGTTGTGTCCCCACCTCTCTCACCAAACCTCTCTCTCCACCCAGATTCCTACCCTGGGACAAAAACGGATGTGGCCGGAGTTGGTTTTCAGGTTTTTATTGTGGGTGTATTTCTGGCAGCAAGACGGGGGCGGTGGGGCAGGCCTCCCAGGAGCGGCCACAGAAGGCCAGGGGAGACTGGTGGAAAAGGACGGGGAACACCGGGAACTTCTTTACTCTCGGATCTTCAGCTCCCGCGCCATCTGGCAGAGCGCGCAGGGCAGACAAAAGGTGAGGGCAGCCCAGTCGTGCCCGACAGAGCCCTAGAGGGTGGGAGAGAGCGGTCAGGAGCCCTGCCGTGGGTCCCTGGAGGCCAGTCCCCAGCCCCCGGCTCCCGTGGGTCCCCGTCCCGGTGCGCACCTGGATGTGGTAGCGCTCGCGCATGCCCGTGCGGATGGAGTGCAGGCCTCCGGGCAGGTAGGGCGCGCAGCAGCACTCGCCGAAGTCGTCGGAGATGCGGCAGGCGAGGCACAGGGGAGCGAAAGTGCCGCACAGACCTGAGCGGGGCGCTGGCGGTCAGGGGCGGGGCCAGCCGGGGCCTCCCGACGGCTCCGCCCCGGGGAGGGGCGCGGCTGACTTGCCGCGGAGGGGCGTTGAGGGTCCCAGCCAAGGAGAGGTCCCAGAGGGAGCTCAGGGTTGGGGGAAGCAAAGGAGAAGGCCCAGAGGGAATTAGAGGTCCGAGGAGAGGGTGGCTTAGAGATTGGAAGATAGGGTTTTTCTTTTTTTCTTTTTCTTTTTTTTTTGTGAGACGGAGTTTCGCTCTTGTTACCCAGGCTGGAGTGCAATGGCGCGATCTCGGCTCACCGCAACCTCCGCCTCCTGGGTTCAGGCAATTCTCCTGCCTCAGCCTCCGGAGTAGCTGGGATTACAGGCACGCGCCACCATGCCCAACTAATTTTTTGCACCTTTAGTAGAGACGGGGTTTCACCATGTTGACCAGGATGGTCTCGATCTCTCGACCTCGTGATCCACCCGCCTCGGCCTCCCAAAGTGCTGGGATTACAGGCTTGAGCCACCGCGCCCGGCCTAAGTTTCTTTTTTATTTTTGCAGAGATGGGAGTCTCACGTTGCCCAGGCTGGTCTCAAACTCCTGGCCTCAAGAGATCCTCCTGTCTCAGCCTCCCAAAGTGCTGGAATTACAGGCATGAGCTACCGTGCTGGGCCGGGAGTTAAAGTTTGAAGAGGGAGTTGGGGGTAACAGGGAGGAAAGTTGAGCATGCAAGGGGCAGGTTGAGGGCCCGGAAGTTGAGTGTTGGAAGGCGTGAGGTCAGTAATCTAAGGAGTGCTGGGGGTCTGAGGAAAGAGTGAGCGCTAGAAAGTGGGAATTCCGATTCCAAGGAATGGAGGTGAGAGTGAGGTTAGCAGGAGGTGGAAGGAGATGGGAGGTAAGTTTCCCTCTCCCGCTTCCCCCAGGCTCCGCCCCCCCTCCCCCGGCCCTGGAGAGGGAGCAGGCGGGCACTCACAGACAGGCATGTCGTTGCAGCAGTCCGTGAGACCTGTGTGCCAGTCACTGAGCTGGGTCTGGTAGCAGCTGGTGGTGGCGCACTGGGGTTGGCTGGTCACAGGGTAGGACATGGCTGCAGAGGTGGGAGGAGCGGTCAGCTGGCAGCCTGGCAGCCTGGCAGCACCTCCTAGGTCCCCGCACCCTTCCCTCTGCCGGGCAGTCTGGGCGGGGCCACCAGGCCGCCCACTGAAGGGACACAAATGTGCCTCCCCCTTCCCTTTTGCCACATCTGGGCACCAGCAACCCCAGTCTGTCCCTGTTGATGCTGGCTCCTGCACGTCTGGTTAGGCTAGGGGTGGGGGGCTCCTGCACATCTAAGGAAGGGTGGGAACCACATCTGGGTGGGCCTGGCAGTGCCGCCTTCTCCTCCACGTCTGAGCCTGGGTTCTGGGTTGCAGCATTTCTGGGGCCTCTGGGGTGGAAGCCGGCGCCGTCTGTCTTCGAAGCAAGGGTGCCCAGGGGAGGGAGGCGGCCGGGTTCCAGTACCGAGAGAGTTGCTGGTCCACCCAGCGATCCCACCTTTGCCTTTCACGTTGTCGTGCATCTCAAACTGCATCTTGCTGGCCCTGAGGAGGTGGCGTTGGGGACGGCAGAAGTGGCTGTTGCGGCAGTGGCGGAGTCTATCCAAGGGACGCTGGATACTGGGGAGGCAGGGGGGCAAGGGACTGGGGTTCTGGGGGCTGGGTTCTCAGGGGGAGGCGAGCTGAGGAGAAAGAGGCCAAGTCAGCTTGCTGGCCAGGAGAGACATGGAATAGGGGATGGATAGGGTGGGGGCGAGAAACTCGCCCGTCTCTTTCCAGCTGCCCGACAGATCCCAGAGGACCCTCCCCATACCCGAGAGAGAGCTTGAGAGAGACCAAGAAATGGAGATGAACAGAGTCAGAGACAAGGGGAGAAAGACCAGGGCCAGGTGCCCGTAGAGCTGCCACCAGTCATGCCCACATATGCCGAGCATTTCAACAACTCCAAAAGCCCATCTCACAGGTGAACACTGAGGCTCAGAGATGAGGAGGAGCGCCCCACATCTGACGGCCCAGGCCAAGGGGGTTCATAGAGGAGATGCCAGGCTCCAGGACTTCCAAATTCAGCCCAGCCCACCCCAGTTAAGAAGGAGGGATTCTGGGGCATTGGGAAGGACAGAGAAGTCCCGAGAGACAGACAGTCAGAGATAGGGAGACAGAGAGAGATGAGTGGGATGAAGAGGAGGGAGAACAGAGCAGAGGCGCCCAACTTCAAAGAAGAGGGCTCTGGAGGGGGTGCTCCTACCTGCGGATTGCGATGGCAGTGATGGAGACAGAAGTGTGGAGACACAGGCACTGACTTCTCCGTCTCAGCCACTTATATGGGCGGCCAGGCAGCCCTGGGCGGGGCTCTGACAGAGATGCTCAGGGAGCCCAGCCCGTCAGGTCGACCCTCTCCCTGCACTGGGATTTCCCGCCTCCCTCTTCACTTCCTTCCCTCCACTTCCCCTCCTGCCTCAGCTCCCAGGACTGAGAGGAGAGAAGGTGGGAGGCGGGGCACAGCGAGGTCAATGTGCAGAGACCAAAAGAGAGGGAGAGACAGAAACAGTGTGAGAAAGACAGGCAGGGAAGTCCCTCTAGACAGAAGGAAGAGAGAGAGGGAGATTCAGAGAGGTGGAAAGATGCCAAGAAACAGAGGGATGCAAACATGTGAGAAGAAATAAGAAGAGGGGAGATGGGTGAGGGGTCGTGGCTGTCACCTGTAATTTCAACACTCTGGAAGGCTTAGCGGGGAGGATCACTTGAGCCCAGGAGTTGGAGACCAGCCTGGGCTCAAGGGAGACCCCCATCTCTATAAAAAATACAAATAAAGTTAACTGGGCATGGTGGCATGCACCTGCAGTCCCAGCTACTTGAAAGGCTGAGGCAGGAGGATCGATTGAGTCCAGAAGGTTGAGGCCGCAGTGAGCTGTGTTCTCACCACTGCACTCCAGCCTCAGTGACAGAAGAAAAGGGGAGCTGGGAGACAGAAGAGAGATGGAGATGGAAAAGTGGAGAGGCAGGTGGGAGGTGGGGGGATCACTGAACAGGCTTAGAGGGCAGGGAAATGGGGAGAGGTGCTGGGTGGGGAGAGAAAGGCAGGGTGGCGTGGGAGAGAGTGCTGTGTGGGACTCTCCTTTCAGGGTCTCTCTCATCTCTTTCAGTGATGTCTCTACTTTCCTGGGAGAGGGGACAATGTCCTCCCCATTCAGGCCAGAAGACACATGGTGGGCAGTGTGTTTTGGGGGATGACTCATGTTAGAACCAAAGTGAATAAACATACCTCACCCCAGCTCCAAATTGGGCAGGGAGGAGGCTGGGAACTAAAAAGCCACAGTTCCTGAAGGACGTGAGCGTGACCCAGGACTCCTGGGTCCTGATGGAGCAAAGGACTGGGGGCTTGGAGCCCTGGGTCTGAGGGTGGAGGGGCTGGGGCCCCAGACTCCTGCATCTCATGAGGCCAGGCTGCACACCCCTCAGTAGGATAGGGGTCCTAGGTTTCCACACAGCTGGGCTCCTGAGCAGGGGAGGAGCTGGGGGCTTGGATGCCTGAGCCACCAAAGTCTCCCACCAACAGGCCTGACAGGATTGGGAAGTGACTCAGTCAGGGAAGCAGTGTTAGAGCTGGGTGGGGTACCTAGCACGGGTGTCACCCCAAAAATGTAGGAGGCACTAGAAAATCGGGGTGTCACCTGCAGAGAAGGTGGTGTCATCACCCCACTGGGTATGGGGTGATGGCAGGTGGATCACCCTGCTAGCCTGGGATCCCAGGTGTCCCCTCCCTGCTTCCAACATATTAGGACCCAAGCCTTGGGCTCCCAGCACCACCCAGATGGTTGGGTGTCCTTGTCCCCAGAACTGCTGGCAGCACTCACTGTCTTGCCTGTGTATGTCAGTCATTGGTCCTGGAGCGTGAATGTCTGGGGGACATCTCCCCACTTCCTTTTTTTTTTATTTTGAGATGGAGTCTTGCAGTGTCACCTGGGCACTCTCTTGGCTCACTGCAACCTCCGCCTCCCGGGTTCAAGCGATTCTCCTATCTCAGCCTCCTAAGTAGCTGGGATTACAAGTGCCCCCCCACCACACCTGGCTAATTTTTGGTATCTTTAGTAGAGACAGGGTTTCACCATGTTGGTCAGGCTAGTCTCGAACTACTGACTTCTTGATCAGCCTGCCTCGGCTTCCCAAAGTGCAGGGATTACCGGCGTGAGCCACCGTGCCCAGCCCTTCTCCCTACTTCTCTCCTACCATCCCTGTCTCCCGTCTCTGAATCTTCATCTGTCACCCTGCATCTTCCCCTCTCCAGCTGGGAATCTCCCTTTCTTTCCTCATCTCTGCAAATCTGTTTACAAATCTCTGTCTCTCCATCTCTGGGTCTCTCTCCTCCCAGGCTCTGTGTCTCTGTGCCCTTATCTGGGGGCCTCTGTCTCCTATGTCAAAATCTCTTCTGAATCTGGCTTCCCATCTCTCTTCCTTTCCCGATCTGTCCCGTGGAGGCAGCCACAAGGCCCCATTCCCCCTGTTGTCCAGAATAAGGATGCAGGTGACTCAAGGGCAGTCATCTCCAGGGACCCTAGGGCTTCCAGGATGATACTCTGAGTTGTCCTCAAGTTTCCTCTCTCACTTCTGACACAGGCTGGGGGCCCCAGTTAGATCTGGCAATTCATGCAGGTGAGGAAATTGGGCCTGGGGAAGCTGTGAGGTGGCCTGCTTGGGGGTGAGGAGGGCCGTGAGCAGGAGGAGGAGCTCCTGGAGGGCTGAAGAGTGATGGTGGCCCAGTCATCAGGCATCAGCCTACATCCCCCTCAAACAGGGGTGCCACATAAAATACAGGATTCGAATCCCAGCACTTTGGGAGGCCAAGGTGGGCAGATCACGAGGTCAGGAGATCGAGACCAGCCTGCCCAACATGATGCCACCCCGTCTCTATGAAAAGTACAAAAATTAGCTGGGCATGGTGGTGCACACCTGTATTCCTGGCTACTTTGGAGGCTGGGGCAGGAGAATCACTTGAACCCGGGAGGCAGAGGTTGTAGTGAGCCGAGATCGTGCCACTGCACTCCAGCCTGGCAACAGAGCGAGACATCATCTCAAAAAACAAAAAAACAAAACAGGATCCTGTAAAATCTGAATTTCAGATAAGCAACAAACACTTTTTTTTTTTAAGTGTAAGTATGTTTTATGTAGTATTTGGGACATATTTATGCTAAAAAAGTGTTTGTTATTTATCTGAAATTCAAATTAAATTGGGCTTCCTATATTTTTATTTGCTAAATCTGGAACCCTGTAATCAAAGACAGAGGAATCCAGAACTCCAGCCCCCTCTTTTCCCAGAACCTAGGAGTCCGGTCCCCAGCCTTCCCTCCTTAGGATCTGAGAGTCCAGGTCCCAATCCTCCTCCTCTCTTTTAGAAGGAATGGGGCACCCAGCCCCCTCCTCCCTCGGAAATACAGGAGTTCAGGCTCCCAGCCCCTTTTTCCCCAAAACCCAGGCATCCAGACCAGGTCTGAGTCCAGTTGCCCAACGTATGTTTCACAAGGTGGGTTGTGCCATCTGTGGCCCTGGGGAAACCGGTTGGGCTGAGCGGACAAGTGGGGTGGCCCCCTTCCCATCCTCAACCTGCTGTTTCCTTGAGGGCCAGCCCAGTGGGGCTGGGAGCGGAACTGGAGGGACTCCTGGAGCTCTGGGTGTGCCCCTGTGTTCCGGTCTGGGTGTGTTGTGTCTGTATGTGTGGTTGTGACCAATTGTCATGACAGTCTGCAACTGTCACGATGTGTCTCTTTGTGCTTTTTCTATGGTCTGTGGTGTGATGTGAGAGGGTCTGTTTTATTTGTGTGTCTGTATTGCCCTCCTGTGAGTCTACACTGGTGTTTGGGTGTGTTCTCAGTGATTCTATAAGTGTTCTTGTGATTCTATAATTCTGATTGGATTAAGGCAGCAATTATTTATTAAACGGTAGCCTTATGTGATGGACTCTGGGGCCAGAAAGCCTGGGTTCAAATTTTTTCCTTTTTTTTGAGATGGAGTTTTGCTCTTGTTGCCGAGGTTGGAGTGCAATGGCACGATCTCAGCTCACTGCAACCTCCGCCTCCTGGATTCAAGTGATCTCCTGTTTCAACCTTTCTAATGGCTGGGATTACAGGCCTCCATCACCATGCCTGGCTAATTTTGTATTTTTAGTAGAGATAGGGTTTCCCTATGTTGGCCAGGCTGGTCTCGAGTGCCAGAACTCAGGTAATCCACCTGACTCAGCCTCCCAAAATTCTGGGATTACAAGTGGGAGCCACAGCGCTTGGCTCCAAATTCTTTTTTTGTTGAGACAAAGTCTCACTCTGTTGCCCAGGCAGGAGTGCAGTGAGTGGGAGAACTCACTGCAGCCTTGACCTCCCCGGCTCAAGTGATCCTCCTACCTCAGCCTCCTGAGTAGCTGGGACCACAGGTACCAATTTTTTTTTTTTTTTTTTTTTAAGACAAAGTCTTGCTCTGTCTCCCAGGCTGGAGTGCAGTGGTGAAGTGGTGCGATCTTGGCTTACTGCAACCTCCACCTCCCCGGTTCAAGTGATTCTGCTGCCTCAAGCCTCCCGAGTAGCTGGGGCTACAGGTGTGCACCACCACACCCGACTAACATTTGTATTTTTTTACTTTTATTTTTTTAGTAGAGACAGGATTTCACCATATTGGTCAAGCTGGTCCTGAACTCCTGACCTCGTGATCTGCCTGCCTCGGCCTCCCAAAGTGCTGGAAGTATAGGTGTGAGCCATGGCACCTGGCCCATGCCAGCTAATTTTTGAATTTTTTCTTGTAGAGACAGTCTTGCAATATTGTCCAGTCTGCTCTCAAACTTCTTGGCCCAAGCAGTCCTCCTGCTTCGGCCTCCAAAAGTGTTGGGATTAAAAGTATGAGCCACCGTGCCCCGCCTGGGTTCAAATTCTGACTGCTGGGTTCAAATTCTGACTGCTGGCTGGGCGCAGTGGCTCACACCTGTAATCCAAGCACTTTGGGAGGCCGAGGCAGGCAGATCACATAAGGTTATGAGTTCAAGACCAGCCTGGTGAATATGGTGAAACCCCATCTCTACTAAAAAAAAGACACACACAAAAAAAATTAGCCAGGTGTGGTGGTGTGTGCCTATAGTCCCAGCTATTCGGGAGGTTGAGATAGGATAATTGCTTGAACCCAGGAGGTGGAGGTTGCAGTGAGCCAAGATTGCACCATTGCACTCCAGCCTGAGTAACAAAGCAAGACTCCATCTCAAGAAAAACACACCAAATTCTGGCTGCCTGTCCTTGGGCAAGTCTCTA